CCATCGGGTTCGGCGGCGATCTTCCCCCACCGCCAGTCCACTGCTGCTCACGCCTCGCTCGCTGGCTCGAAGCGCTGCCGGGAAGATCAGATGAGAAGTGATGAGGGAGATGCGGACGCTCTGACCGTATTTGAGCCAATGGCATTGAAAGGTGATGATGGGGATGATTTTGAGTCGACTCAAAAGCAGGCGAGCAGTGATGACGACGCTCAGACCATATATGAGTCAATTCCATCGAACAGTGATGATGGGGATGGTTTCGAGTCGACTCAAAAGCAGGCGAGCAGTGACGAGGGAGATGACGACGCTATGACCATATATGAGTCAATTCCATCAAACAGTGATGATGACGGGGAGGATGACGTGCTGCTGATGGTGGGGGATGAGGGGGAGGGAGCAGAGGTGGGTCTAGAGGAGGGCAGGGAGGAGAAGGGGCAGCAGCAGGAACAGCAGGAGCAGCAGGAGCAGCAGGAGCAGCAGGCGCGCTCAGCAGCAGCGTCACCTGGTGCTGCTCCTACTCCTGCTCTTGCTGCTCCGCCTGCTGCTGCTGCTCCTGCTTCTCCTCCTTCTCCTCCTGCTGCTCCTGTTGCTGCTGCTATTGCTGTACCTGCAGCAGCAGCAGCAGCAGCAGCAGCAGCAGCAGCAGCAGCAGCATCCAGCAACAAAGCAGCGAAAGACCCGGAGCATCTTTCAACCCTTGACTCACGCTCTGCTGATGGCAGCAAAAGAAGACCATTCAACGACGGCCAGGCATCTGGCATTGAGGAGGCTTCAATCAGAGAGGCATCCAGCAGCAAAGCGCAGTCTCTCCTGTCATCCGACTCACAGACAGCTCATGGCAGCAAAAGAAGGCAAGATTTAGACAGCGGGCAGGCACCTAGCATTGAGGAAACTTCACTCGGAGAGCGAACAAACAGCAGCGAGGGTGCATGTGCAGCTAAAAGGGAACCAACAGGAGAGAGAGGGGAGGGAGCAGGGGGAGAAGAGGCGCAAGGCAGCAGCAACAAGGACCATCTCCCTCCCTCTCCTCCCCATACTTGCGCCCCCACCAGCGCTGCCACCACCTCAAGCACCAGCGCCCAGCCAAGCACCACCATCCATCTGCCAAGTCTTCCCAGACTGACATCAATCATCCCGCGACTTCCCTCAGCTGAGAGCCTCTCAAAACCCGCTGCACTCCCCAGACGGCAGTCCAAAGAACTCCCCCCTCTGCAGTCCGTTCCGAGCCGGCCAGCCGTTTCTAGTCTGCCGCCCGCTCCCATCTTTCCATCCATCCCCAGCCTGCCGTCCGTTCCCAATCTGCCGTCCATTTCTCGTCTGCCATCCAGCCTGCCATCCAGTCTGCCATCCATGGGGTCGATAGACCTGCCGAGGGTGGAGTCGCTGCAGAGCAAGCTAGACGGCCTCGTGGACAAATTCCACAAGGTGAGCCATGTTGCTTTAGAGCCGCCTCAAAAGAAGGTGGGGTCACCGCAGAGCAAGCTTGGGAGCTTTATGGATAAATTCCACATGGTGAGATGTGCGATGTTTGAGCTGGCTTGGTGGACAGCGGATTGAGGATTCCCAAACACCAGCTAGTATGAGCAAGCTTGGCGGCCTCGTGGACAAATTCCACAAGGTGAGATGTGTGATGTTTGAGCTGGTTTGGTGGACAGGGGATTGAGGATTTCCAGTCACCGACTAGTATAGAGTGGTGTGGATTCCCTGCAGAGCAAGCTGGACGGCCTCTTGGACAAATTCCACGAGGTGAGGCGGGCAGTGTTGGCTTAGAGGCGGCGTAGTTGGCTGCACAAGGTGAGGCGAGCCATTTTGGTTTAGAGGCGCCTCAAAAGAAGGTGGGGTCCCCGCAGAGCAAGCTTGGCAGCCTTATGGATAAACTCCACATGGTGAGGCGGGCAGTGTTGGCTTAGAGGCGGCGTAGTTTGCTAGCCATGTTGCTTTAGAGGCGCCTCAAATGAAGATGGGGTCCCTGAAGAACAAGCTTGGCAGCCATATGGATAACTTCCACAAGGTGAGGCGCGGCGCGCTTGAGTCGAATCCACAGGGTGCAGTGGGCCCTCTTGAGTCGACTATCAAAGAAGAGCACCCAGACAAAGTGTGTAGCAGTGAAAGCCAAGCATGGCAGGACAGGTCACGCAGTTTTTTTCTATATCTTTCTTGCTTTTCCGCCGTTTCGCTCCCTTTGGCAGGGCAAAGAATGGAGCCGCGAGAGGCACCTGTCCACCTACAACACAAAGCAGCAGCAGCAGCAGCAGCAGCAGCAGCAGCAGCAGCAGCAGCAGCAGCAGCAGAACACACCGTTCGAGTTCAGGTCCGCCTCCTCCTCCTCCGCACTTGGAGCAGCATCCCCTGTGTCAAGAGCAGCATCCCCTGTGTCGAGAGCAGCACCCCCTTCTTCTATACCAACAGCCCCCGCTCCCACTGCCCTTCGCCACTCTGTCACCAGCACCGCCCACTCACCGCATTTCCCACCCGCATCCAGCCACACCTCCCTCCCCTCCTTTTCGCCTTCCTCCTCCACCTCCTCTTCTCGCTCTGTCGGACCCAGCAGACGGCCGTTTGTTCCCAGGCCATCATCGCGAGCGCTGCCGGTAGTCCGACAACCGTCGCGAGCGCAGCCTGTCTCCTCTCACGGCCCAACAGGCAGGTCGGCGGCGATCGTGCAACACAAGGCCACCACGCCTGGGCCTCGTAGTGCGACAGATAGATCGGTGTCCTTCGCACCATCGCATGTGCCGTTGCATGCATCCACACGTACACCGAAGCATGCGCGATCAGATGCAGCATCATCAGGTGCAGCATCCAGACAATCATCACTCGCAAGCACAAGCAGCACCCCTTCCCCCTCCTCACACACCCTCCCCAGCGCGCAACTATCCTCCCAAGCACTCCTTGAAGCCCCAAGTCCACCCACGTCAGACCACCCCATTCCCCCAACATCCACCCCGCCAGTACAGGGCCAGCTTAGCAATGCTCTGATTGGCGAACATGCCAGTGGCCGTCCACCTAGGCTGCCTCCTGACCGCCCACCTGAAGTGCCACCTGACCGTCCACCTGAGCGCCCCCCTGAGCATAGGCGACCCAAGTCAGCGATGGCGCGGCGGCAGCGGGCAGCGTGGAAGGTGCAGGCACAGTACTCGCCACGGGCCCGACGGAGAGTTAAGACTGCTGCTGTGATGAAGGTGCAAACGCGAATGGAGACGAGCTTTGGGACGTCTCACAGTCAATGATGGTGCAGTGAGGAGTCTCACAGTCAATGATGGCGCAGTGAGGAGTCTCACAGTCAATGATGGCGCAGTGAGGAGTCTCACAGTCAATGATGGCGCAGTGAGGAGTCTCACAGTCAATGATGGCGCAGTGAGGAGTCTCACAGTCAATGACGGCGCAGTGAGGAGTCTCACAGTCAATGACGGCGCAGTGAGGAGTCTCACAGTCAATGATGGCGCAGTGAGGAGTCTCACAGTCAATGATGGCGCAGTGAGGAGTCTCACAGTCAATGATGGCACAGTGGCAGCGGGCGGCAGGAAAGGTGCGGGTACGGTACTCGCAGCAGGCCCGACGGAGAGTCAAGACTGCTGATTTTATGAAGGCGCAGGCGCGGATGCAGTGCAGTTGGCCTAACCCTTCCCGCTTGTCAGTCACTCCTCCGTGGAGTCACCCTTCCCGCTGCACTGCGCATGCCGGACGCTTGCACAACCGGCTCATATGCCTCACGCCCTCACCCCACCCTGCACGCAACGCAACGGCGCTGCATCCTACTTCCGCTGTCCTCCGCCATCGTACTAGGGTGCACAACTGCAGGACTCGCATTGCAGCACGCAACGCCGCGAGTGCACTGACCTGCTGGACTCAGACAGGTGGGGAACGCGGCCCCTAGTCCAGGTCGACGCTACGACCGCTCGAGTCTGTCTGACCCATTGCTGCTGACACCAATACCGTCCTGGGGGAGGGGACTGGCTAGGTCGTGTCCTCTACCCGTTACCTGTGATCCGAAACAGTCTACAATATCTCTCAAGAACTACCGTAGCAAGGAAAATTGAATGCGGTCTCTTTCTTCATGTGAATACGCATATACAATACTTTTGGCACGGCTAGAAAATTGGGAAATCATATTGTTGATTCTAGATGCGGATTATCCTTCAGTAAGCGAAATATGATAAATGGGCGTATTCCCTGGCATGGTTTTGTCTGATTGAGCTGCACATACGTTTTTGCTTATCGGTTAAACTCTCTACTGCTTACGAGTAACGATGCGAAGTGTTTGCCTCTGTTATTACGTGTTGGGACAGAGTGGATTTCGGTGATGTTGGTGGCAAGGTGAAACGTGGTCGCGTGCGGGAATGACGGGGCGGCAGGCCGCGAATGCGGGAAAGAAACAGACAACGGTCACCTCCTCTCCCCTCCCTCACAGCCGCCGCCTTTTGGCAACAACTACTGTAGCCTCAGGGCGTGGTGCAGCCGTTCCGAAAACCCAAAAATCCGGACAGAAATCCGGACGGGGTTTTCGCAAACGTCCTACATCAAAGGTGTAAACGAAAAGAAGATCGGACCGCAAACTGTGTAGGCACACAAGGTCGAGGTGTGGAGGTCCGTTTGCCCCTGGCGTGAGGTGTGACGTGGAGGTGGCCTCCACGCCTGCCCTTCGGGCAGGCCAAAACTAGAAACCCGTCCGGGCCCGCATGCCGGGCAGCCCAGGGTTTTAGTTTTTCCTGCCCGATCTAACCGAGCCGCGCGCTCTTTTGCCCCTGTCAACGCGCCCGAGCGTGTACATCCTCAGGTTCGGACTAGCGGGTCAGCAGCGACGCTGTCGAAATTTGCGGAGCGTTGAAAGCCAAGAACGGTTTCGCAAAAGCTCTAGTCCGGACGCATTCGCAGCCGATGCACCACGCCCTCAACAGAACCAGTCTCACATACCTCTAGGCGGTTTGTCAACGCCGGAAGGTCAACCCTTGAACTTACCGGCCCCTGGGTCGCGTTGCCTGGGTTTCTCACTGGGTCCATGCCATGGGTTCTTCAATTGGCCTTCGACCACTACAGTACTTGCTCCTCCTAAACCTAGTAGGTCTCCCTTCGTTTTCCTGCTCCTCATGTCAAATACTCACCTTACGGTTCGATAAGTGCGTTTATTATCATCCGTCGCAGCTAATACCAGTCGCAGCTCATGCGACAGTCAAGGGAGCATGCGACACCGCCATGCGACAGTAGTAGCATGCGATGCCGGACGCAACGGCTAATGCGCATCGATATCGTGTTCGTAAAAGGGCTAAGAATGCACATTCTCACGATCCCTACCACTACTGCAGGCGACATGCCGCCGCACCTTGCGTCTCGTCGACACCGCGAAGCTTCCTTGCGGGGTCGGATCCTCGTGCTAGTACTCGTTATAGCGTTAACGGAGCTTCGTACGGAGAGTACGGGAAGCGCCGCGACAGGTTTAGGGGCGGAAGCTAGCGAGCACAGGAGTTTCCGTAATGCGGAGATCGCTAATATTAATCAAGTTAATATGAACACGTCTTTTAGTCTGCTGGAGTACAAAAACGACATACCAGGCTCTCACGAATCATTCGTCAGGCAAATCCAACTCGCGAAGGCTGTGCTTTCGGATGCTGCTGACTCGGTCGATTCTCGCTCTGACTCTTATCGAGACGCTGACTCTGATCAAGACGCTGGTTATAATAAGAACGCTTACGCTAATTCTTACCCTGATCGAAACGCTTACTCTCATCAAATCTCTTACCCTGGTCAAAACGCGGAATCTGACAAAAACGCTGACTTCGATGGAACTGCTCGCACTTCCGATCATGGGACCGCAGTACCCAGTATCGCGAATAGCAGCACGAGCCTTGATGGTCACGATGCGAGTGTTCGGCTTGCATCCAGGCGAGTGGTGAGGAGAGGCTTGCAAGCCGCGCAGGAGACAGTCTCGGAGGATACAGTCGCGGGGGATACAGTCGCGGGGGATGCAGTCGCGGGGGATACAGGCGCGGGGGATACAGGCGCGCGGGGAGCAGGCTCGCGGGACGATGGCGCTAGAAAGTTAGTGGCGGGGGGTGGTGGCGCGGGAACGGTCGCGAGAGGTGCGAACCAGAGCAAGGCGGAGCTGTCTCTCGGATGCCTGTTCGCCTACGACCTGCCTGGCGGCGCCGACATGCTCGCTGGTACGCCGCTCCCGCAGCCCCTCCCTTCCGCCTCCCTTCCCCTCCCCCACTCCTCTTTCCTTTTCCGCGCCATTCCCCCCTTCTCTCTTCCGAGTCCGTCAACTCCCTTCCCTTCCACCTTTCTCTACTCCAAACTATTCTCGCGGCCCCTCAGAGTAATGCTCCTATACCCACTTCTCTCCTCGCCTCCTCTCCTCCCTCCCTTCCTTCCCCAAACCACCCTCCCCCCCCCCCCCCCCCCCCCCCTCCTTCCCCCTTCCCTTCTCTTCCACATTGCTCTGCTGTCCAATCTATTTCTTGCTGGGCCTCAGAGCCATGCTCCAACACACATCCCTCTCGCCCGCTCCTTTCCTTCCTCCCCCTCCCGTGCTCGCGAATCTGCTCCACGCCTTTTCCCCGCCAGCCTCTGTGATGGCAGTGGAGGAAATCAACGGCGATCCCAGCATCCTGCCCAACCACGTGCTGCATCTGACGGTGCAAAACTACTCCATCGCCGATCTCGCCAGTCAGCTCGCAGGTTATCCCCTCTCCCTCAACCCCCTACCGCCCACCCATCCCTTTTTTTAGTCGACTTAAGAAGCCCACCCGTCCTTTTCCCATCCCCCATTCGCTGCGGTTGCTAAATCCCCTCTTCCATCTCCCCTCCTGTATGCTCTCCCTCTGTTCCTTACCCTCGGTTTCTGCCTCCCCCTCGCCTCCACTGGCTTCATCCGCTGCCTCCACGTGGCTTCATCTCCTGCGTCCACGAGGCAGCATTTGAGCTACTAAAGAACCACCCGGTGGCCGTGATTGGTCCGCACACATCTGATCAGGCTGCCCGATTCAGCCCGCTGGCAGCAGCAACCCAGGTAATAGAGTCTCACCTTTGCCTCATTGGCTTGAATGAATTTCTCAGCAACAGACGTTCAGCTAACTCTAGGTGCTAAAACCCTAAAAACCCTCATTCTGAACATGAACTCATGCTTCAGCTTACTGCCTGCTTAATGTTCTCCTGCTCCGCCCCCCCCGCACTCTCCCCCCCCCCCTCGTCACCCCCCCCACCACCCACCCCTTCCTGTCCCCCTTCCTGTCCCCCTTCTTGTCCCCCCTCCACCCTCCCCTCCTGTCCCTTCCCCCCCAGGTGCCGTTCATTTCCCCGTCAGCAACGGACGTGCAGCTCACGCTAGGCGCCCACCGCCCCTACTTCATGCGCACTGTGGCCAGCGACGGCGTGCAGATGACAGCCATGGCAGGTACGGGATTCCTAGTATAGATGGTGCATACCAGGTACACGACATGCCAGTAGCAGACAGTTGGTAACGGGATGACTTTTGAGTCGACTCAAAAGTTACCAGGTACAAGACATGCCAGCGACAGACAGCGCAGTGTGCCCAGCGATGTCGCGCTACTCCTCAGCGGTGGTGACAGATAGTGGCACGTGTTACTATCTGTCCGTCGCTTGGCTTCGTAAAAGTGCACAGTGTGTCCCTACTACTCCTTTTTGAGGCGCCTCAAAAAACTACTCCTTGCACACTGTGTTCAGCGATGTCGGCCAAGGAACGACTTTTGAGGCGCCTCAAAAGTTCAGCGATGTCGGCCAAGGAACGTAGTGGTGACGCCTCGGTCCTGGAGTTGATCGACACCACCAGGTTCCTGGCAAACGAAGGGATGTGCAGACCGGTGAGGGAGCCGGAGGGGACAGCTGGACAGGGGAGGGTGGTGGTACTGCGTGCGACAGCTGTGGCTGAGGAGTCTGCTAGTGCGATGCGGACAGGCGCAGGAAGCGGGATAAGAGCAACTGTCTCTAAAGAAGCAGCGAGACGCGCCCGAGTCAAGGATAAAAGAGAGGGGCAGGGGAGGAGCTATTCCCCCCTCCCCCCTCCTCCCTTCCCTCCCTCTCCCTGCAGCACTGATCAAGCACTACAAGTGGAAGCAGGTGGCACTCATTTACAGCGACGATCGATTCGGTCGGAACGGAGTTGCTGCCCTCAGCACACAGCTTCTCTCCATTAAAGTGAGTGGCTCTTGAGGCACCTTACAGGTCAGAACGGACTTGCTGCCCTCAGCACACAGCTTCTCTCCATTCAAGTGAGTGGCTCTTGAGGCGAAACTTGACATGCCGCAGATGTACAACACCGCCTGAAGAGGTGGAAGTGGGTTCAAAGGTGGTAACCCTCACTCGTTTCGCGTTTTGTGGTGCCCAGCAATAAGGTACATATGACAGCCTCGTGACCCGTCTTCCCTCTCCTGATCGGCTGTTCCTTTGCCTGTCGCTTACCGTTTCTTCCTCCTCTAACAGGCGGCTGTTCCCCCATGTGGTAGCGCATGTGCCCATCCATTCCCCCATCAGCCACATAAGACGCCGTGCAAGAGCGCAACTGTGTTCTCATGGCTGCTGCTGGATGCAGCTGTCCGTGTGCTGCACGCTTCTTCATACCTCTTCCTCTCTTGCCCCCCCCTCCCCTCCCCCTCCTCTGAACAGGCAGAGGCGGATGTGGTAGCGCGTGTGCCCATCCCCCCATCAGCCACACGTGACGGCGTGCAAGGGCTGATGTCGTCTCTGCTTCTGCTGGACGTGGCAGTCTATGTGCTGCACGCTTCCCCTGACGCATACACAGCCGCTGTCGAAGCAGGTGAGACACAGTAGAACCTTCGCTTGCTGGACGTGGCGGTTTATCTATGTGCTGCAGTACACTGCACGCCTCTCCTGACGCCTTCATTGCCACTGTGGAAGCAGGTGAGTTGTTGAGGCAGTTCAAAAGAAAGAAAGTAAAACGGAGGGCCACGTGCTTCTGCTGGACGTGGCGGTTTACCTATGTGCTGCACTGCACTGCACTGCTCACCTCTCTCCTAATGCAGCGTCTGGACTTCCTCTGTCATCCCATGACCCATGCACTTCCATAACCCAACCAACCCCCCCACCAGCCGGTAACTGCGTCTGATTAGGACGAACAACGTTATCATCTCCTTCCTCTTTCCATGACCCATAACCCGCCCCCCCCCCCCCCCCCAGCCCAAAGGCTGAGTCTTCTAAGGAGGAGCAGCGTCTGGATTTCCTCCGAAGCAGCGGCCGTCATCAGTGCATCGACAGGCCAGAGAGTGGATGTGAGTGTGCCCTGTGCTGGTGCTGGTGGTTGTGGTTATGAGGTTGGCTGATGTGCCGTGTGCTGGTGGTAGCGGTGGTTATGGGGTTGGCTGGTGTGCCGTGTGCTGGTGGTGGCGGTGGTTATGGGATCGGCAGGTGTGCCGTGCGCTGGTGGTGGCGGTTATGGGGTTGGCAGGTGTGCCGTGTGCTGGTGGCGGTGGTTATGGGGGTGGCAGGTGTGCCCTGTGCTGGTGGCGATGGTTATGGGGTTGGCAGGTGTGCCGTGTGCTGGTGGTGGTGGTAGTTATGGGGTTGCCAGGTGTGCCGTGTGCTGGTGATGGTGGTTATGGGGTTGGCAGGTGTGCTGTGTGGTGGTGGTGGTAGTGATTATGGGGTTGGCAAGTGTGTCGTGTGCTGGTGGCAGTGGTTATGGGGTTGGCAGGTGTGCCGGGTGCTGGTGGCGGTGGTTATGGGGTTGGCAGGTGTGCCGTGTGCTGGTGGTGGTGGTTATGGGGTTGGCAGGTGTGCCGTGTGATGGTGGTGGTGGTTATGGGGTTGGCAGGTGTGCCGTGTGCTGGTGGTGGTGGTGGTTATGGGGTTGCCCGGTGTGCCGTGTGCTGGTGACGGTGGTTATGGGGTTGGCAGGTGTACCGTGTGGTGGTGGTGGTAGTGGTTATGGGGTTGGCAGGTGTGTCGTGTGCTGGTGGCAGTGGTTATGGGGTTGGCAGGTGTGCCGGGTGCTGGTGGCGGTGGTTATGGGGTTGGCAGGTGTGCCGTGTGCTGGTGGTGGTGGTTATGGGGTTGGCAGGTGTGCCGGGTGCTGGTGGTGGTGGTTATGGGGTTGGCAGGTGTGCCGTGCGCTGGTGGCGGTGGTTATGGGGTTGGCAGGTGTGCCGTGCGCTGGTGGCGGTGGTTATGGGGTTGGCAGGTGTGCCGTGTGCTGGTGGTGGTGGTTATGGGGTTGGCAGGTGTGCCGGGTGCTGGTGGTGGTGGTTATGAGGTTGGCAGGTGTGTCGAATGCTGGTGGCGGCGGTTATAGGATTGGCAGGTGTGCCGTGTGCTGGTGGTGGTGGTGGTGGTTATGGGGTTGGCAGGTGTGCCGTTTGCTGGTGGGCGGTGGTTATGGGGTTGGCAGGTGTGCCGTGTGCTGGTGGTGGTGGTGGTTATCAGGTGTGCCGGGTGCTGGTGGCGGTGGTTATGGGGTTGGCAGGTGTGCCGTGCGCTGGTGGGGGTGGTTATGGGGTTGGCAGGTGTGCCGTGTGCTAGTGGTGGTGGTGGTTATGGGGTTGGCAGGGGTGCCGTGCGCTGGTGGCGGTGGTTATGGGGTTGGCAGGTGTGCCGTGTGCTGGTGGTGGTGGTGGTTATGGGGCTGGCAGGTGTGGCGTGTGCTGGTGGTGGTGGTTATGGGGTTTGCAGGTGTGCCGTGTGCTGGTGGTGGTGGTTATGGGGTTGGCAGGTAGGGATGAGCACGAACCCGACTCGACCCGACCCAACTTTGCCCTACCCGATGTCGGGTTCGTGTCGGGTCGGGTTGGGTAACCCGACCCGAACCCGTCTTTTTTACGGGTCGGGTCAGTTTCCCTGTCGGGCGAACCCGACCCGTCAAGTTTGTTTTTACCCGATGGTTCGGGTCAACCCGAACCCGACATGCACGGGTTCGGGTCAACCCGACATGTCGGGTTGACCCGACCCGACTTCGGGTAATTGCAGTCGAGTTGACCCGACACGACCCGACCCGAAATCGGGTCGCGCGTCGACCCGACACGATCCGCGCGATCTGCGTCAGATCTCAAAATTTTGACTTTTCGGGTCGAAATTTCCAACTGAAAAATTAGTTACCTATTTCGACCTCGACTTTCCCATACTGCTACCTAGCAACAATGGAGTTCTAACAGTTGAATTTAAGGCAACAGTTGTTCCTCCTCTTTCTTAGGCATAGTGAAAGGAGATTCGCCCTAAGCAACTCCGATTTCTTCAGAAACAGCCCGCATTTTTAAGGAAACTTTCCAACAAAGTGGCTAGTGCATTCGTGGCCTTTACCACGCACTTTCCAGAATTGGGGGCATTGGTCCGTGGAAACTAGGGGCGTCTTAGATATCTAGGGTTTCCATAGGTTGCTAAAGCAGATTGAACTAGGGGAGGGCCTAGATTGTTGGTGTCGGTGGCCTACACGGCGGCGAATGGAAGGCGGAGTTGGTGGTGGCGGTCAGGGCAGAAGCGATGGTGGGGATGGGGGGTTAAGGCCGGAGGGCCCACACGCAGCGTCGGCGCAGACCGGCGCTGACAGTTCGGCGCTGACAGGTCGGCGCTGCCAGGGATGTCCCTTGCCTTCGTACCCGTCGCCGGTGCGCTACAGAGCTTCGCCCTTGGCTCCATCAACGCCGACAACGAGTGGGATGGCACATGGCGCCGGGATTTTGGCATGGATGACGAGGGCTGGGAGAGCAACCGGATTCCGGACCCCGCAGTAGGGGGGAAGGGGGGACAGCGTGACAATGACCCGGATTATGGCCGGGAGAGGAGGAGATGGAGGCATGGGAGTCCGGGGACGATGGCCCACGCCCCGGAAAGGATATGAGTGGGAGGAAGAGCGGGAAGGGTGGCGGAGGGGGGCGTGGAAAAGGGGCGGGTGCTAACCTATGGGCCATGGATGCACGCGCTGCTACTGGTGGGGGGGAGGGCAGCGGGGAGCCCAGAGTGGCAGGGGGTGTGGGGGGGCAGCAGAGGTCATGGAGACAAGGGCCGGATAGGGTGCGCGCGGTGTAGAAAGGGGCAAGCAAGGGGGCAAGCATAGTTAAGGGAAGGAGAAAGCACGTTCTGGGTCTGGGGGGGGACTGCAGGGGCTGGTGCGACGCACCCTAAACATGGTAGAGAGGGGGAGGTGGAGGAGGAGGAGGGCACCGGGGGCAGGATCTCGGGCCTTATGCATGGTATCTTCGACATCACCGACGACCCTCTTAAGCGTGCATGTCGAAGCTGCGAGCAGACGGTTTACTGGGCAGGCAGCAGCAGGGGCAGCGCCTGGAAGCATGCCCGCCTATATCACCACCCCCAACTCCAGATCTGGCACCGCCTGTTCAGAGACCCCAAGAAGCAGCCGGGTTAGGAGTTCCCCCTCAGGGGGTATCCGAACGTGCCACATCAGCGGGAGGCCTGGCCGCATGCTGACAGCTGGTCGCGGCTTCCTGCGGGTCCGGCGCCAGCACAGGCGGAGGCTAGAGCAGGGTAGCCGAACTTACACAAGTTCATGGCGCCTCGACTGTCCTTGCAGCGACTGCGACAGGCGCTCGTCGAGCTGTTTGCTGACGCCGTTCTGGTGTATCGTCATGTCGAGCGCCCATCGGTGAGCCCTCGCATACTCGGTTTGTGAAGTTCAAAGTGCATCTTTCGAATGAGATGAAGTTTTGTCACTTTGTGATATCAATCCGTCCAAAGCCTTGTTCTGTCTAGCTGCCGCCCCTTCCACTGCCCATCCATTTTCCAGTTCCAGCGGTTCTGCTCGCTGCTAAACCCACAAGCTGCGAACATGCTCGGCAGTCGGTTTCGTCTGGCACGTGTCATGTTGACGCACGGGGATGCTGCACGCGAGTGGCTGCAGCAAGAGGTGGTCGGTGACAGGGCAGTGGAGAAGGTTTCTTTCACAACGTCATCTAAACCAGCCTCTGCAAGCAAGCCTTCATGACCGTTACGGGCCACTACATCACGTCGGACTTCAGGCTGCAGCAGGCGACTTTCGAGTTCAAGCAGCTCCACGAGTCGGATACAGAAGATCTCATTACGGACGTGTTCGAGAAGGTCCTCATCGACTAGGGGTTGCTAGCAGCGGTGTTCGGCGTGACGACGGACAACGCCGAGAACAACGTCAAAGGAACTTGCAGTGGCCACCATGCTAGACCCCCGCTACAAGCACTATGTTGTTCTCAGCGTTGTCCGTCGTCACGCCGAACACTTGGGCCCCCAGTCGATGAGGACCTTCTCAAACCCGTCCGCAATGAGGTCTCCCATATGCGACCCGTGGAGCTGCTTGAACTCGAAAGTCGCCTGCCGCAACCTGAAGTCCGAAGTGATGTAGTGGCCCGTGACGGTCATGAAGGCCTGCTTGCTGGGGTTGGTCTAGATGTCAATTGTGAAGGAAACCTTCCCCGCTGCCTCGTAACCGGCCACCTCTTGCTGCAGCCATTCGCGTGCTGCATCCCCGTGCATCAACGTGTCACGTGCTAGACGAATCCGACTGCCGAGCATGTTTGCAGCCTGTGGGTTCAGCAGCGAGCAGAACCGCTGGAAATGAAAAAGGGATGGGCTGTGAAAGGGGCGGCAGCTAGGCAGAACGAGGCTTTGGGCGGATTGATAGCACAGATGTGACAAATCTTCACTCCAGTTAGAGATGCACTTTATAATTCACAAACCGAGTATGTGAGGGCTCACCGATGGGCGCTCGACGAGACGATACGCCAAGTCGGCGTCAGCAAATGGCTCGACGAGCGCCTGTCGGAATCGCTGCACGGACAGTCGAGGCGCCATGAACTTGTGTAAGTTCGGCTGCCCCGCTCCAGTCTCCACCTGCGCCGCCGCCGGACCAGCAGGAAGCTGCGGCCAGCTGTCAGCATGTGGCCAGACCTCCCGCTGGTGTGGCACGTTCGGATACCCCTTGAGGGGGAACTCCAAACCCGACTTCTTCTTGGGGTCTGTGAACAGATGCTGCCAGATCTGGGGGTGGGGGTGGTGATATAGGCGGACATGCTTCCAGGCGCTGCCCATGCTGCTGCCTGCCCAGTAAACCGTCTGCTCGCAGCACCGACATGCACGCTTAAGAGGGTCGTCAATGATGTCGAACATACCCTGCATGAGGCCGGGGATCCTACCCCCGATGCCCTCCTCCTCCTCCTCCACCTCTCCCTCTCTAGCACGCTTAGGGTGCGTCACACCAGCCCCCGCAGTCCCTCCCCAAACCCAGCCCGTGCTTTCCCCTTCCCCTTGCTACGCTTGTCCCCTTGCCTACCCCTTTCTCCACTGCGCACACCCTGTCCGGCCCCTGTCTCCATGGCCTCTGCTGCCCCCTCCACACCCCCTGCCAGTCCTGGCTCCCCGCTGCCCTCCCCCCCACCAGTAGCAGGGCATGCATCCGTGGCCCCTAAGTTAGCACCCGCCCTTTTCCCACGCCCCCCTCCGCCACCCTTCCCGCTCTTCCTCCCACTCCCCTTCTTTCCGGGGCGCTGGCTGTCGTCCCCGGACTCGCATGCCTCCATCTCCTCCGCTCCTGGGCCATAATCCGGTTCATTGTCATGCCGCCCCCCCTTCCCCCCTACGGCAGGGTCCGGAATCCGGTTCCTCTCCCAACCCTCATCGTCCATGCTAAAATCCCGATGCCACATGCCTTCCCACTCGTTGTCGGCATTGATGGAGCCAAGGGCGAAGCTCTTTGACGCGCCGGCGACGGGCACGAGGGCAAGGGACATCCCGTGCAGCGCTGAACTATCAACGCCGGTCTGCGCTGACGCTGCGTGTGGGCCGTGCGGCCTAAACCCGCCATCCCCAACATCGCTTCTGCCGCGACCGCTACCGCCGACTTCGCGTTCCATTCGCCGCCGTGTTGGCCACCGACTCCTTAAATCTAGATGGTGGGACAGCGCTGAGGGGCACCAAGCTCCTCAAGGAGGAAGAAGACCCAAAGGGCCTCTTGTGCGGCCATGGTGGCGGCGTACAGCTCTGCTTCTCAGGAGGAGAGAGCGATGGCGGAGGGCGAGAAGGTAGCCTGCGGAAGGGCTAGGGCTGGAGGATGAGGAGGGAGGAGAGCCTAGTGGGAAGGCCGGGCTAGGTAGGAGAATCAAATGAGGTGGCGTGAGCCATTGGCTCTGAATACCATGAAAGAACTCAACTTTGGAGAGAAAATAATAAACTTGAATAGGAGCCAAAAGGCTCTATAGTACAACCAAAGAGCAAGGAAACGTTGGAAGGGAAGGCATTCCTATTGGCAACAATAGTGGCCAATGGGAGAGGTAGCTTGGAGGGGAAGCAACCCCAAAGTGTGGTGGTTGCTGATTGGTGGAGGCTTGGGACCATTTGGTTGGAAAGTGCCAACCAAAGGACCAAGACCAAATCCAATCTTGACAAACCAAAGTGTGGTTGTTGAACCCAACCAACAACCCCCCAATAACTTATATGTCTACACCTCCTATTCTAGTCATGCATGTTGTATATGATAATATATTACAACACCCTGTGCTGGTGGCGGTGGTTATGGGGTTGGCAGGTGTGCCGTGTGCTGGTGGTGGTGGTTATGGGGTTGGCAGGTGTGCCGTGTGCTGGTGGCGGTGGTTATGGGGTTGGCAGGTGTGCCGTGTGCTGGTGGCGGTGGTTATGGGGTTGGCAGGTGTGCCGTGTGCTGGTGGCGGTGGTTGTGGGGTTGGCAGGTGTGCCGTGTGCTGGTGGTGGTGGGTATAAGGTTGGCTGGCAGGTGTGCATTTTGCTGGTGGTGGTGGGTATAAGGTTGGCTGGCAGGTGTGCCTTGTGGTGTGGGATGTGGGCGGGCTGATAGAAACGCATCTCTGTTTCCCAACCCCTCTCCCCACCCTCCCCCAGGGCCTCATCTTCACAGTCACCTATGTGCCTCCTTTCCCCCGCTTTTGAGTTGACTCAAAAGTAACGTCGCACCTCATCCTCCTCCCCTCCCCGCCCTCTCCTCTTTCCAGAGCCTTTTCTGCACAGCCACCTACGTGCCTCCTTCCACTGGCTTTTGATTCCCAACCCCTCCCTGCCCCCCCTCCTCTCTTCCAGGGCCTCATCTTCACAGCCACGTACGTGCCTCCTTCCGCTCGACTCACATCGTTCCTTGATCGCTGGAAGCAGCTCAATGCCTCGCAGTACCCAGGACTCAGCAGAGCGGTCAGTCAGCCTTTCTTGTTTGGTTGAAGACTTGAAGAAAGAAAAACCAACTCTTCTCAAAAACCAACTCTTCTCAAAAACCAACTCATCTCAAAAACCAACTCTTAAAAAAAAACAACTCTTCTCAATGGGGTCAGTCAGTCTTTCTTGTCTGTTTGATGGCCGAGTTGCTTCATCGTTTCCTCCAACCATCTTTGCGCCATCAACTCGCTGCAACCCCCCTTTTACCATCAATGCAACCCCTCTAGCTCTCCTCCTTTTTCTTTTCCCCTCCCCCCCCCACCCTTCCCCCCCTTCCCCCCTTCCCCACTCTCCCCTCCCTCCACCACCCCTCCACATCCCTCCCTCCAAGCCAGAAGCCGTCACCGTACGCCCTCTCATCACATGATGCTGTCACCCTCGTTGCAACAGCACTGCACACCCTGCTCTATCCCCCGCCTGCTGCTTCAAGGCGAACACCTTCCAAGGCACTTCACAAAGGGAAGCAGCAGCAGCCGATGAAACAGCAGCGAGTGCAGCAGCAACAGCAACCAGGGGGACAGCAGCAAGCATTCCAGCAGTTGAATCTGCCTCTGCTCCCCCCACTTCCCAACGGCACCGACGACGCACTTGTCCCAGAAATCACCCACCTCCGAAGGAGCACAAGTAAGCCTCTGGAATGCAAGTAAGCCTTTGAGTCGACTCAAAAACACTTGAACCAGCAGCCAGAGGGGCGAATGCAACCACTATTGCAGTTAGACCAGCCACTGCCCCCCCCCCCTTTCCCAATGGCACCTACAATACACTTGCCTTGTCCGGCACCTCGCTCCACTCGCCCCATTCACACAGTCACTCCTGTGTTGCTATTCAGTCCATTTTTTCCTTATCCCTCTTCCCCGCTGTAACACTTTCTTGAAGTATGCTTTTTCCCTCGCCCTGCCCTATTCACAGTCGGCCCCACTCTTTGGGAGGCGCTTCTCAAGACAAGCTTCGTTGGCCTCCAGGGCAGGTGAGGGGAGTGTGGGGAGAGGAGGGGGAGAGGAGTGGGGGGAGGAGTGGGAAGTGGAGTGGGAGAGGAATGGAGTGGGAGGAAGAGTGTTGGACGTGAGTTTGGTTAAGTATGGAGGTCTTTTGAACAGTCTGCTTGAATTAGTTGACACAGCCTACAGCAAAGGTCGGTGGTGTGGTGTGGTGCCGTTGTTTTAGATGATTCGGACAATAATGATCACGTTTTTTGCCTTGTGTGTTTCCCTGTTCCTCCTCACTCACTCCTCCTCACGCCCCCATCCCTTTCCTTCATACTCACTCATCCACCTCCGTGTCCCTTTCCCTCCACCCTCACCTGTCCCTTTCCCTCCACCCTCACCTGTCCCTTTCCCTCCACCCTCACCTGTCCCTTTCCCTCCACCCTCACCTGTCCCTTTCCCTCCACCCTCACCTGTCCCTTTCCCTCCACCCTCACCTGTCCCTTTCCCTCCACCCTCACCTGTCCCTTTCCCTCCACCCTCACCTGTCCCTTTCCCTCCACCCTCACCTGTCCCTTTCCCTCCACCCTCACCTGTCCCTTTCCCTCCACCCTCACCTGTCCCTTTCCCTCCACCCTCACCTGTCCCTTTCCCTCCACCCTCACCTGTCCCTTTCCCTCCACCCTCACCTGTCCCTTTCCCTCCACCCTCACCTGTCCCTTTCCCTCCAACCTCACCTGTCCCTTTCCCTCCACCCTCACCTGTCCCTTTCCCTCCACCCTCACCTGTCCCTTTCCCTCCACCCTCACCTTTCTAAATCCCCCGACTCTCCTTCCTCTCCCCCCCTCTCAGGATGTCTTTCACTCCGCACGACGACATGGCAGTGACCGAGAACCTCATTCTCAATATACAGGCAGGGGCTCCAGTGGAAGTGGGCCTCTTATCGTCACACCACCTTCCCTCATTCTTGTGCTTCCCCCCTCTCCCTTTGTCCCTCCACTGCAGGATGTCTTTCACGCCGCACGGCGACATGGCAGTGAACGAGACGCTCATTCTCAACATACAGCCAGGGGCGCCAGTGGAAGTGGGCCGCTGGTCCTCCACCCAAGGCCTTATCCCAAACCTCCGAACCTCTTCAGCTCCAACGGCCTCTCGCACAGGCTCGGGCGCACCCGCGGGTCCAGGCCCGGTCGCAAGCCCGACCCCAGGCCCAGTCACCGGCTCGAGTGGACAGGTCAGTTGTGTGTTGGCTGGCTCCAGGCCTCCTAACTTGGATTCGTTCGTTCCACTGTGGCGCCTCCTTCTTGAGTCGATTCAATAGCCTCCTTACTTGAATTGGAACTCGAGACGGCTCACAACACTGCATGCCTAGGCCTAGCATATTGCCAGGCCTCCTAACTTGGATTCGTTCGTTCCACTGTGGCGCCTCCTTCTTGAGTCGATTCAATAGCCTCTTTACTTGAATTGGAACTCGAGATGTCTCACGAGTCACAACACGGCATGCCTGGCATATCTCCAGGCCTGCTAACTTGGATTCTTTCCACCACCCCCTTTCCACCGCCCTCTTTCCACCCCATTGCAGGCGTTGAATGACCTTCCTATTATCTTTCCTGGCGGGCTCACACAGGTGGGCCGTCATTGAGGCTGACACAGGGTTTGGGGTTTCAGGGTTCACAGAGGCTGACACAGGGTTTGGGGTTTCAGGGTTCATTGAGGCTGACACAGGGTTTGGGGTTTCAGGGTTCACAGAGGCTGACACAGGGTTTGGGGTTTCAGGGTTCATTGAGACTGACACAGGGTTTGGGATTTCCGGGTTCATCGAGGCTGACACAGGGTTTGGGGTTTCAGGGTTCATAGAGGCTGACACAGAGTTTGGGGTTTCAGGGTTCACAGAGGCTGACACAGGGTTTGGTGTTTCAGGGTTCATTGAGGCTGACACTGGGTTTGGGGTTTCAGGGTTCATAGAAGCTGACACAGGGTTTGGGGTTTCAGGGTTCATAGAGGCTGACACAGGGTTTGGGGTTTCAGGGTTCATAGAGGCCGACACAGGGTTTGGGGTTTCCGGAATTACAGAGGCTGACACAGGGTTTGGTGTTTCAGGGTTCATTGAGGCTGACACTGGGTTTGGGGTTTCAGGGTTCACAGAGGCTGACACAGGGTTTGGGGTTTCAGGTTTCATTGAGGTTGACACAGGGTTTGGGTTTTCCGGGTTCATAGAGGCTGACACAGGGTTTGGGGTTTCAGGGTTCATAGAGGCTGACACAGGGTTTGGGGTTTCCAGGTTCATAGAGGCTGACACAGGGTTTGGGGTTGCAGGGTTCATAGAAGCTGACACAGGGTTTGGGGTTTCAGGGTTCATAGAGGCTGACACAGGGTTTGGGGGCTTCAGGGTTCATAGAGGCTGACACAGGGTTTGGGGTTTCCGGGTTTACAGAGGCTGACATAGGGTTTGGGGTTTCAGGGTTCATAGAGGCTGACACAGGGTTTGGGGTTTCAGGGTTCATTTTGGCTGACACAGGGTTTGGGGTGTCAGTTTTCATAGAGGCTCACGCAAGTACGGTGTCATAGAGAAGAGGCTCGCACTGGTGGGTGGGGTGATAGATAAAGGATTCCAGACTCATAGTACGGGTACCTTTGTTTCCTCCCTCACTGCCACCGTCTCTCCTCTTGGTTGCTTTCTTGGGGGTGTTGTAAGATTAAGGCGCAACAAAACTTTGGTTGTTTCAAGCCATTTGCAGATTCTCCCACTCCTGGCCCTGCCCCTGCCCCTGCCCCTGCTCGCTGTGTCGTCTCCTCTTCGTCTATCTCGCTGTTTCCGCAGGTCCCAACAGGATCATTTCCCAAGACGCGGGTTCGGATTGCTGTGCCCAATAAGCAGGTGAGGTGGCTATATTGTGGTTCCCAATAATAGGCTGCACCAGGTGCCTTATCAGCAGATGCCTTATCAGCAGATGCCTTATCAGCAGATGCCTTATCAGCAGATGCCTTATCAGCAGATGCCTTACCAGCAGATGCTTATACAAAGGTGCATTTAGTTTAGGTGAGCCACTTTTTCCTACGTAGCTCCTCGCTGAGTTGGTGCTTTTGGTGAACCCGTGAGCCCATCATGTATTGTGGCCTTTTCTGCTTTTACAATTACAAGCTCAGCCTTCCGAGTACGTCAATGCATGTGATAGAGCGTTTGGAGGTGTTTTCATATTCATTAGCCCATCCCTCCCCCCCCCCCTCCGCTCTCCCCCCCTCCCCTGCCAGCAATACAAGGAGTATGTGAATGTGTCCGATGCTTAAACGGAAAGCAAGGGCCGCTTCTCAGGCTACTGTGGCTTCTGGTTGACTCAGAAAGTTCTTCCCCTCTCCCCTCCAACCAACCCTCTTCCCCCCCACCCCCCACTCTCTCCCCCCTTTCCCTGCCAGCAATACAAGGAGTATGTGAACGTGGGCAACACACGCTTCTTATGTGAAGGTGACTGTACATTCGACTCAACAGTCCCCCCCTTTTCCCCCCCTCCCCCCTCCGCTCTCCCCCCTCCCCTGCCAGCAATACAAGGAGTATGTGAACGTGTCGGATGCTTTCGGGGAGGGCAACGCCCGCTTCTCAGGCTACTGCGTGGAGCTCTTCCGCCTGGCGGTTACGCGGTTACCCTACGAGCTGGACTACGACTTTGTGCTGTACGGGGACGAGTCCCTCAGCTACACGCAGATGGTGCTGGCTGTGGCCAATAAGGTGAGTGAGACAGTTTCACTTATCTCTCCTCAAACTTGTCACGCCATATCATGCCCCAAAGTGGGTTACCCTCCGAGTTGGTTGGACTAACGAGTTAGTGCTGTATGGCGATGAGTCCCTCAGCTACACGCAGGTGGTGCTGGCTATGGCCAACAAGGTGAGACGTGATCTCTTATCAGGCCTCGATCCAAGCCTTGGAGTTGGACTAACGAGTTAGTGCTGTATGGCGATGAGTCCCTCAGCTACACGCAGATGGTGCTGGCTGTGGCCAACAAGGTGCGCCTCTTCCTCACATCATGCCTTTGAACCTTCCTTAAGACCCGCCTGTACAAGTCGGCCCATGATTTTGTGCTTTATGGCAATGAGTCCCTCAGCTACACACAGATAGTGTTGGCTGTGGCCAACAAGGTGCAGCGTCTTCTCTTATCACCCTTTCAGAACAAGCCTCAATCACCTTTCAAAGTAAGTCGCCATACAAGCTGAAATACGAGCCTTTTCTAACGTGCGAGTCCCTCCCTCCTCTATAACCCTGCATTGCCCTTGCTCTGTGTTGTGTTGCCCGGTATCTGTACCCCTGCGGCAGACATACGACACGGCAGTGGGGGACATAACAGTGCTGGACTCCAGGAGAAAGATCGTTGCTGCATGCGAATATGAGTCCCTCCTCTATTTCCCCTTGCATTGCCCTTTGTCTGCACTTGTGTTGTATGTGCCCCAGCAGACATACGATGTGGCAGTGGGGGACATCACAGTGCTTGACTCCAGGAGCAAAGTCGTCTACTTCACCCACCCCATTCAAGTGCGTGCGGGGCAATGGAGGTGGGTGTCTGTGGGTCGGCCAATTGAGTCGGGAAGTGACTGCCCAGAGGAAGGCAGGCACATGGTTACACATGTCCCATGTTTCCACAAGCGAGCGGCTCACCAATCCGCGTGATACATGTCGAGTTTTGAGGCGCCTCAAAACTAAATTACCCACAAGGCATGTCTCCACGAGCGGCTCACCAATCCCAACCCGCATCCCTTTCCCGCTGTCGTCTATCCTTTGCCACTCGCAGCAATCAGGGCTGGGGTTGTTCACTCTTATGCCATCCACCCACCCCTTTCCCCACTCCACACCCCCTCCTGCCCTTCCTCCTGGCTGTGCCATCTGTGGCAATCAGGGCTGGGAGTTATCGGCTATTCACGCCCCTACACCAACCCCTGGCTGGCCTTTGATTCGACTCATATGCCTCCCCACCCACCCCTCCCCCTCCCCCCCCCTCTCGCCCACCTTCCTTTCTCCCGTCTGTTCTCCCTCCCAGCAATCAGGGCTGGGCGTGATGGGCTACTCGCGCCCCTACACCAACCCCTGGCTGGCCTTCCGAGTCCACTAGTAAATGCCATCCCTTTCTTCCCCACCCCCTGCTTTCCTTCCTCCTGTCGGCGACACCTGCAGCAATCAGGGCTGGGCGTGATCGGCTACTCGCGCCCCTACACCAACCCCTGGCTGGCCTTTGACCCCTTCACGCCTGCCATGTGGGCCGTCACTGCAGCCCTGTGTGTGTTCACAGGCCTTGTTGCAGTGCTTCTAGACGGACACGTGACACCGGCATTCCAGGGCAAGCTGCACACGCGGATGCTGACAGCCGTGTGGTGAGTGGGCTGCTTTGGAGTCACTGCAGCCCTGTGTGTGCTCTCCAGCTTGCTGGCCGTGCTGCTGGCCATGCTGCTGGCCGTGCTGCTGGCCGTGCTGCTGGCCGTACTGCTGGCCATGCTGCTGGCCGTGCTGCTGGCCGTGCTGCTGGCCGTGCTGCTGGCCGTACTGCTGGCCATGCTGCTGCTGGGCGTGCTGCTGGGCGTACTGCTGGGCGTGCTGCTGGGCGTGCTGCTGGGCGTGCTGCTGGGCGTGCTGCTGGGCGTGCTGCTGGCCGTACTGCTGGCCATGCTGCTGCTGGGCGTGCTGCTGGGCGTGCTGCTGGGCGTGCTGCTGGGCGTGCTGCTGGGCGTGCTGCTGGGCGTGCTGCTGGGCGTGCTGCTGGGCGTGCTGCTGGGCGTGCTGCTGGGCGTGCTGCTGGGCGTGCTGCTGGGCGTGCTGCTGGGCGTGCTGCTGGGCGTGCTGCTGGGCGTGCTGCTGGGCGTGCTGCAGGGCGTGCTGCTGGCCGTGCTGCTGGGCGTGCTGCTGGGCGTGCTGCTGGGCGTGCTGCTGGGCGTGCTGCTGGCCATGCTGCTGGCCGTGCTGCTGGCCGTGCTGCTGGCCGTGCTGCTGGCCGTACTGCTGGCCATGCTGCTGGCCGTGCTGCTGGCCGTGCTGCTGGCCGTGCTGCTGGCCGTACTGCTGGCCATGCTGCTGCTGGGCGTGCTGCTGGGCGTGCTGCTGGGCGTGCTGCTGGGCGTGCTGCTGGCCGTGCTGCTGGCCGTGCTGCTGGCCGTGCTGCTGGCCGTGCTGCTGGCCGTGCTGTTGGGCGTGCTGCTGGCCGTGACACCTGCGTTCCAAGAAATGTTGACTCACACACACTGACTCACACACACTGACTCACACACACTGACTCACACATACTGACTCACACACACTGACTCACACACACTGACTCACACACTGACTCACACACACTGACTCACACATACTCACACACACTGACTCACACACACTGACTCACACACTGACTCACACACTGACTCACACGCGGACTCACACACACTCTCACTTTGTCGTCCCTTTCCTTTCTACCCATGGCTCTCGCCTTGCAGGTATGGCTGGGTCACATTCTACAACATTCCTGGTGCGACCTCTCTCGCCCTCTCCTCCCCTTCTCTCTTCCTCTCTCTGCTATTCTCTCCTCCTCCCAACTTGCTTCTTTCCTCCCCTCCACGAATGTCACAAGGAACTGCAGTCAGTGCTTTAACATGGTAGTCTCATCTCAGTGGAACAGCCAACAAGTCCATCATTGCTTCATCTGGTGCCCTCCTTCACTGCAATCTGTGTCCTCCTTCACTGCAATCTGTGCCCTCCTTCACTGCAATCTGTGTCCTCCTTCACTGCAATCTGTGTCCTCCTTCACTGCAATCTGTGCCCTCCTTCACTGCAATCTGTGTCCTCCTTCACTGCAATCTGTGTCCTCCTTCACTGCAATCTGTGCCCTCCTTCACTGCAATTTGTGTCCTCCTTCACTGCAATCTGTGTCCTCCTTCACTGCAATCTGTGTCTGCTTCGACTCGCTCCTCTCTCCAGTGTTTCCCATTACCTCCCAACCACGTCCACATGCCATGCATGACAATCACGTCCACGTGCCATGCATGACAATCACGTCCACGTGCCATGCATGACAATAACGTCCACGTGCCATGCATGACAATCACGTCCACGTGCCATGCATGACAATCACGTCCACGTGCCATGCATGACAATCACGTCCACGTGCCATGCATGACAATCACGTCCACGTGCCATGCATGACAATCACGTCCACGTGCCATGCATGACAATCACGTCCACGTGCCATGCATGACAATCACGTCCACGTGCCATGCATGACAATCACGTCCACGTGCCATGCATGACAATCACGTCCACGTGCCATGCATGACAGTCTGCATGTGCTTTGCTCCTTTCTCCTTTCTCTCCTTTTTCTCCTCTCTCTCCTCTCTCTCCAGTGTACCACATCCGCTCAACGCTCGCACGGATAGTGGTGTCGCTCTGGCTGCTGCTCTCCTTCATTATAGCCACATCCTACACTGCCAGCCTCACCTCCATCCTCACACAGCAGAAGCTCGTCCCGCAAATCCTTGTAAGCTGCCTCTCTCCCTATAAGCACGTGTCGCTGTGGCTGCTGCTCTCCTTCGTTTCACCCATATCCTACTCTGTCAACTTACCTCTGTGCTGACATTTGCAGAAGATGGTTCCGCGGATCTTTATAAGCTTCCCTTTTATAAGCATGTGCGTTTTATTGATTTGTTTTTTCCCTCTGAGTGTATGCATTGTAAGATGTTCTTCACTTAGCAGGCGCAATACAAACATTTTCTCCCCTATAAGCACATCCCACGCTCGCCTTCATCTCTCCTCAACCTACAACAGGACATCTATTCAGCGCTCACCAGCAATTCACCCATTGGCTACCAGCAGGGCTCCTTTGTGCACGCCTATCTGTTACAGCTGGGTGTTGCTCCGGTGAGTGTTGATTCAGTTGCCTTGTTAGTCTCCACCCTACCCGCTCTAGCTGGGTGTTGCTCCCTTCTCTCCTCGGCCGCATCACAGTGATAGTGAACGAGGACTCCTTCCTACCTCAACCTCCTCGCTGCTGCACCACCGCTGCCCCCCCCTCCTACCCCCTCCCATTCCTCCCTCTCATCGGGCCGTGTCACAGTGATAGTCGACAAGGACGCCTCCCTCAACTAGACATGGGCACTATCCAAGCCAAACCTGGCTAGGCGAGCCGAGCCTCTTTTTTTTGGAACCCAGTTCGTCTCGAGCCGGCGGCTCGGCTCGGCTTGGGCATGCAAAATCAGGCGAGCCGGGGTCGAGCCGGCTCGAGCTTGCTCGATTTCGAGCCAGAAGGCTCGCGGCTCAGGAAAGGGGGTTCGCGACTGTCAAATTTCAGATCGACAACACCCCCCTCCATTCCCATTTCGTATGCCAACCCTAACCTCACCCTGCCACCCTAGTTTATCGCCCTCAGCCAGCCCTATTAAACCTGCAGAACCTCCTGATAGTTTTGCAAGATGTAAGAGCTGCATTAATTAGAGCGCGCTCCACGACAGCCCTAGGCGCGCGTGCCCACCGAGGCCTTGGCGTGCGCTATGCGCGCACTAGGGTTTAGACTTGGGCGCACGTCCGTGTAGGCCTAGTCCCACGCTGCAGAGGGCTAGAGGGCGCTCGGTAGGGCTACATTAGGGCGCGCGATCACCTTAACTTGTACACGGGCCCCAAACATAGAAGCAGACGATCAGCTAAACAATCTGGACCGTCCCCCAGGCCGGAGTAGAGACCCCAAACCCCATGGGCCCAATTGAGAGCCCACTCAATCAAGCCCCCCTGACGAGCCGAGCGAGCCGGCCCCGGCTCGACCCCATTTTCTCGAGCCGAGCCGGGAATCTTGAGGACCCGGCTCAAGGCGAGCCGAGCCAGGCTCGGCTCATACCCATGTCTCCCCTCAACATCCTCGCTGCTGCATTCTCTCCCCCCCACTCTTCCACTCTTGGACTCCCCCCCACGCACACACCAGGGCAAGCTGATATTCCTCACAGGAGATACCGAGTTCTCCTGCCCCCTTTCCTCCCCCATTTCCTCCCCTCCTCCTCCCTCTCCTCCCCCCTCTCCTCCCCCTCTCCTCCCCCCTCTCCTCCCCCCTCTCCTCCCCCCTCTCCTCCCCCCTCTCCTCCCCCCTCTCCTCCCCCCTCTCCTCCCCCTCTCCTCCCCCCTCTCCTCCCCCCTCTCCTCCCCCCTCTCCTCCAGCCACATGACAGTGATAATGGACGAACACCCCTACCGTACCCCCTTCGTTGCGTCATATACACCTTCCTCCCCCGACCCCCTTTAGGACAATTTGATATCTCTGGCTGGGGAGAACTAGTTCTCCTCCTCCTTCCCCCCACTCCCCCCACCTCTCCGCACACAGAACCCCTTCAGGACAAGCTGATATCGCCGGCTGCAGAGAGCCAGTTCTCCTCATCGCTTTCCTCCGGCCGCGTGACAGTGATCGTGGACGAGGTCCCTTACCTCAACCTCCTCACCGCTGCATTATCTCTCTCTCCCCTCCCCCCCACTCTCGTCCCCCCACACCAGGACAAGCTGATATCCCTGGCTGGGGAGAGCGAGTTCTCCTCCTCTCTCTCATCGGGCCGAGTCACAGTGATTGTCGACGAGGACCCCTACCTCAACCTCCTCGCTGCTGCCTTCTGCGATGTGGCTCAGGCGCCTCAGCCCTTCTCCGTTCTCAACCTCGCCTTCGTGAGTTCAGAGTTCGCCATGTGGCTGTCGATTATGCAAGATATGTATGAAAGTAAGTGGGCGGGCGTGCAACTGCACCAGGCCTTTGTGAGTGCGACATATATGAATGTGTGCGAGCGTGCAACTGCGCTGCACTCAAAAGCACCTGGAAAGCACTGTCTTGATCTCAACCTCTTCGCTGCTGCATTCTGCGAGCGACGTGGCCCTCAGCCCTTCAGCCCTCAGCCCTTCGCTGCTGCATTCTGTGACGTGTCTGCATTCTGCACCTCAGCCCTTCTCTGTTCTCAACCTCGTTTTTGTGAGTGCTAGATGCAGCAAGTGCATGGGTGTGCTACGGTGTGTGTGTATGCTAGGTGAGATGCGCTGTTGTTTTTCAGGTCTCGTTCTCCCCTCTTTTCCTCTCACCAGTGAACTTCAGGCGCTTCCCAAGGCCTCTCAGCTGAGCGTGAACATCTCTCATGCCAGGCCATCCCTGCCTCCATTTCCTCACCCCATCTCGGCCTCCTCCCCTCCTCTCTCCTCCTCGCCTGCCCGTTCCCCTGCGCCTTGCTTCTCAGGCATTCCCCACGGGCTTCCCAGCTGGGAGTGGACATCTCGCAGGCCATCATCGATCGTCATCCCTCCCCTCATGTCCCCACTCCCACTGCCTCTTCCCATCTTCTTCCCCTCCTCGCAGGCCTTCCCCAAGGGCTCCCAGCTGGGAGTGGACATCTCGCAGGCCATCATCGATCTTCAGATGCTGGGCGAGCTGGAGCGGCTCAAGACGCAGTACCTGCAGGTGGGCGTTACTTCTCTTATTTTTTTGGTACATCAGATTAGAGATCACAGAAAGCATTCGGACGGGCTCTTGCAAGTTGGCCTTTGAGTCGCCTCAAAAGGCTCGCACAGGCCGTCATCGGTCTTTCAGACGCTAGGCGAGCTGACGAGGCTCTTTTTTTTTAGGCGCCTCAAAAAAAGTAGGCGAGCTGGGCTGGAGCGGCTCAAGACACAGTACTTACAGTTGGATGCCGGAGAATCAATCAAATCATGTGCATGAGTTCTCAGCAACAGCTCTCATTGTCAGCACTTCTGCATGTGCATTGCAACAATCGCAATCTGCCTCTTAGGTGAGTTCCATTTTTAGTCTTCAATCCCCTTACAAGATACCAACTAAACCACAACTCTTTTCCACCCTCTTCCCCTCCCCCTTACCCCCTTCAGAAGAACAGCATGTGCGGTGACGACCAGTCGACCACATCTGCAGTATTCTCTCAGCTCAACATTGAGAAGTCGTGTTGTTCTATTTGGCGCCTCAGAAACAGAATTCCTTCCCCCCTCTCCCCCCCCCCCCTCCCCTTGACCAGTCCTCCACTGCTTTATCCTCCCAGCTCAGCATCCAAAGTTCCTTCCTTCCTCTCACCCATCCACGCTACCGCCCCTCCTGCTCCACTCCCCCCGCCCCCCTGTCAGAAGGACAACCCCTCCCAGACTCACCTCTGGTATATCATCCGCTGCAGCTCTACGACCTCCTGCTTCATCTGCTGTCTGGTCTATGCAATTCAACATTTCTAAATTGAACACGGGCCTCACCTCTTTTCATCTGCTGCACTTCTATGTTTTTGCAGGGTGTTTTTGAGAATTCTCAAAAAACTCCCTGCAGAATTCTCAGAAACTCTATGGCCTCCTGCTGCGTCATCTGCTGCCGCCCATCCTCCCGTTTCCCCCGGGCCACAGATCTGTGGCATCCCAATGGCATCCTACAGGTCTCACCTCGCACACCAACCCGATGCCCTGACCCCACTAGTTGGATTCTTAAGGACAGGCGCTGATCTCACCTCTTTCATCCTCTGCTGCTCCACCACCTCCTGCTTCATCTGCAGCGGCGACCAGTCCTCCAGCTCTGCTGTGTTCGCTCAGCTCAACATTCGAATGGTTGTCCTCATCCTTGCCTACAATCCGCTGACGCCCCTCCCCCTCCCCTCTCGCCCTCCTTTCTCCCCTCTTCCCCCCTCCAGAAGGACAGCATCTGCAGCGGCGACCAGTCCCCCAGCTCTGCAGTGTACGCTCAGCTCGATATTCAAAAGGCGCTTTCAATTTGGTGCCTAAGAAACGAACTTCATTCCCCCCTCTCTCTCCGCCCCCCCCCCCCCCCCTCCCTTCCTTCCTCGGAAGTACAGCATCTGCAGCGGCGAGCAGTCTTAACTCTGCAGTGTTTTCTCAGCCCTTGCCAGAATCCCCTCCCACCCTGCCCTCTCCCATCTCGCTCTCCCCTCTCCAACTGCCCCCCTCCTCAGAAGGACAGCATCTGCAGCGACGACCAATCTAACTCTGCAGTGTTTGCTCAGCTCGATGCTCAGAAGTTCTCTGCCCTTTTCATTCTCTATGCTGCCGTCTCTGTCCTCTGCTGCACCGGCTATGTCGCTCTCCTCATCCACCGCGGTTACCGTTACATCCAGTAAGTTCTCTGTCCACCGCGGTTACTGTTACATCCAGTAAGTTCTCTGTCCACTGTGGTTACCGTTACATCCAGTAAGTTCTCTGTCCACTGTGGTTACCGTTACATCCGGTAAGCACAAGCGTTACAGTTCCATTCAACGTTTAGAAGTGATCCGCCTGTTTCATTCATTCCCCAGCTGTGTCATTTACTTGCCCTCCTCATCTTCCGCGGTTCCCGTTACATCCGGTGAGCACTGTGGTTGCATTTACATCCAACATACATAAGTCTATTCGCCTAATTTATTCTCAAGTGTCTGTCGTTTCTTTCTGTGCTGCGAATGGTGCTGGCAACACCACAGGGAAACACACGGGCACCAAGATCTCCAGCAGTGGCACATGGAGCAGCAGGAGGGTGAGCTGTGGTATGGCCAGGAGCACCAGGAGCACCAGGAGCGGTGCTCTGACAACAACACACGCCATCCAGACCTTGCCAGGGATCCTTATGCTTACTACAGACGGGACAACGACGACGGCGGCGAAAACAATATTGACAATTATGCTGATGAGGAGGGGGAGGAGGATGACAATGGTAGGGCTGGTGTGAGGGGCAGGGGAGATGCTTTAGTGTGCTCGCTGCGTGCTGGCTCCTCTTATAACGGCCTTTCATGCGGGCTCGGCTCTTGGGACGCTGCAGCCTCACCAGCTGGCAGTTATGGCAGCAGCAGCAAACCCCTCCTCTTTAGCAGTGGCAGCAGATGCATCAGCAGCGGCTTTGCGTTTGGTGCTGGGGTCGCGAGCACCAGCCACAGCACTGCCACCAGGAACGCCGCCGCCAGTTGCATTCCTTTCCTCCACCCATCTGCCACATCTGCCGCATCCAGTCCAGCTGACCTGATCCCCGGTGCCAGCTTGCCGTACCAAGGGGGGTCGCGACATGGAGGCCTGGGGGGGTCAAGGCAGGGGAGCAAGCAGCTGGCGGTTTTAGATGCCCTGCTTGAGGAAGACGGGGAGGAGGGGGGGGTGGGGATGAGAAGGGGAAGGAAGGGGATGGAGAGAGGAGGGAAGCGGATGGGAAGGGGGAGGAAGGGGATGGGGAGTTGGGGGGTGGAGATGAGGGGCGCACTCAGTCCGCTACTGCTGTAGTTGAGTCTGGTGCGGTGCTTGCTTCTAGCTCTGGTACTGCTGCTTCTTCTAGCTCGGGTGCTGCTGCTGCTTCGGATGCTGTTACTGCTACTGGTAGTTCATTTAGTCGGGCCAATTCTTTGGTTCCCATCTCAATCGAGAATCCAGCAGCACTGGCAGCAACAGCAGCAGTAGCAGTAGCAACAGCCACAGCATCAGCACCAGCACCAGCACCAGCACCAGCACCAGCACCAGCACCAGCACCACCACCAGCACCAGCAGCAGCAGCAGCAGCAGCAGCAGCAGCAGCAGCAGCAGCAGCAGGAGCAGCAGCAGCAGCAGCAGCAGCGCCAGCACCAGCACCAGCGCCAGCGCCAGCAGCAGCAGCATCAGCAGCAGCAGCCGCACCAGCACCAGCACCAGCACCAGCGCCAGCAGCAGCAGCAGCAGCAACAGCAGCACCAGCACCAGCATCGGCACCAGGATTTGCAGAAGCAGCAGACACAACAGCAGAAGCAGCTGCAATTGAAGCAAATCGATCAGTCACTTCCGGAGTCACGTTTGCCGCCGCTCCTGCTGCTGATAGTGCTGCAACTGCTAACACCACTGCCACTCCTGCCACTGCTGCTACCCCTGCCACCCCTGCCACCACAGTCGCTGCTGCTACCCCTGCCACCCCTGCCATCCCTGCCACCCCTGCCACCCCTGTCACCCCTGCCACCCCTGCCACCCCTGCCACCCCTGCCATCCCTGCCACCCCTGCCACCCCTGCCACCCCTGCCACCCCTGCCACCCCTGCTACTGCTGCCAGCACTGCCGCTGCTACTACCCCTGCTACCGCAGCAGCCAAAGCAGTGGTGAACAGAGCAGCAGACCAGGTGTCAACTAAGATTCTATCCTCCGTGGGTGCATCGCTCGACATGGCTGCCAATGTGCAACCAAGAGCAGCATTCCCTAAAGCAGCCTATGCTGCCAACAGCACTAACAACAGCAGTACTAGTGTTACTAACTTGTTTCCGAAAGTTAAAGGTTTGGCCAGTGTGGGTAGTGTGACTGCCATGGTCCCGAAAGTGGGGGGTATTGCAAGTGTGGCAAGTGTGGCTAACGTGTCTAACGTTCTACCCGGCATGGCAGCTGTACATAGGATCATTGAGACGTCCCAGGAGGGTGTGGTTACCATGCAACGGACCATGGACGATTTAATGGATAAATTCAACAAGGTGAGACGCTGCTAAGATCACAGCTTGCCGATCGGTTACATTCTCTTGGCGATCGTATGCACCTTTCTGTGTACCATTGATCTTTATCACCTGTGGCTCCTTCTACTAAGGCGCTTCACTGCACATATCCCGTTATTCCCTGCCACCCCCATCCCCTTGCATGTCCCCGCCACTTATCCCTCCTCCCAAAACCATGTGGCCATACCAGAAGCAGGAGTAGATTCCACCGCAACATTGTCTTTCGCACATTAATAGCCACCTAAATACTTTCTTCCCTAATGTTACCCTTCCTCACTGCAATCCCTTTTTCCCTCAGCATCCCTCCCCCAAGACTTCTCCCCTTCAAATTCCGTTCCCCTCCCTCGTCAAACCCTTGCAGGGCCTGGAGTGGACTCGGGAGAATCACCTGGGCCCGGAAAACATTCGGCAGCAGACAGGCTATTCTGCAGCATCCTTCCCCCCTAGCATCCCGCCTTAAACCCCAGAAATCCGTTCCCCTCCCTTCAAACCCTTGCAGGGCCTGGAGTGGAGTCGGGAGAAGCATCTGGATCCGGAAAACATCCGACGGCAGACAGGCTATTCCGCAGCATCCATCCTCCCGGACTTCTTCCCTTCCCCAAGCAACCCCTCGAGGAAACGCAGCAGCACTGTCACACGTCCCTCCACCTCTTCTGGCGCCTTTCTCCGTGCCTCCAGTGCTGGCGATGCCCTCGCTTCTCCCGCCTCTGCCTCTTCTTCCAATCTCAGCGGTTCAAGTCTAATCAGAGCGCCCCATGTCGCACGTCCCTCCACTGCCTCTGGCCCCTTTCACCGTGCTTCTAGTGCGGGCAATCCTCGCGCTTCTCCTGCCTCTGCCGCTCCTTCCAAACAAGTCAATGGTCCGAATCTCCGCAGGGCTTCCCCTGTCACACGTCCCTCCACTGCTTCGGGCTCCTTCCACCGTGCCTCTAGCGCTGGCGATTCTCTCACTCCTCCCGCCTCTGCATCTCCTTCCAGTCAGGTTTATTTCTCAGGTCACCACACAGCTGACCCTCTTCCTGCTCGGCCCTCCACTGCTTCTGGTCCCTTTCACCGTGCTTACAGTGCTGATGATAGCCTTGCTGCTGGTGATAGCAGTGCTGATGATAGCCTAGCAGGTGATATGCACAGTGCCCCTTGGTTTCACCGGGCGGCGAGTGCAGGTGATAGTTGCACTGGTGGTAGTTTTGCCAGCTCTGATGCAGCAGCAGCAGCAGCAGCAGCAGCAAGTGCTGCAGCATCATCACTGGTGCTAGATCTGGATGTGCTCGACAGAGCAAGGCTGGCAAGTGCCACTTTGCCATCTTCGTCGTCATTGCCTTCAGCAGCCGGCCCATCAGTAGCAGCATGTGGGGTTGGGGTATCGCCAGGAGCAGCCGAATCAGATGTGCAGGAAGCAGCGCAGCTAAGGCCGCCTAAGAGGAGAAGTATGGAACACCAGTTCGACTCCTCCTCAGTACACTCCTCACCACTGACATTCAATCGATCCTTGTCTCAGCAACAGCAGAAGCAGCAGCAGCAGCAATATCAATCGCAGCAGCTGCTGCTGCGGGAACAGCTCCCGCCTAAAGCATCATACGCACGGCTCAACTCCCCTCTCAAAGGTTCTCCGGTGCAGCAACGGCAGAGACTCCCGAGTGACAGGCCACGCAAGACTGTCCATAGCCGGAGCGCGTCGTACGACATCACACAGAGGACTGGATCGAGGTGGGTTTGCTGGAATGCTGCTGCTGACTCAGCTCGACATTTTGCCGCTTCCATTTCAACTGAATTCTAGAGCCGTGAGCCCTCATCCCTTTTCTGTGCAAATGATCTTTCGCGTTCGTTCCGTTGCTTGATCTGCAGCTTCGAGGGGGGATTCGGAAGGAGGTTGGTGAACCTAGACGATGTTTTGTCACCAGCGTCATCTACGTTCGATGCCGATGTGAACAGCAGGATCGACGAAGGAGATCTCAAACGGGTTCGCGCATTTCGTCTCTCGAAACCATATTGCCCTGATTCCTGAATCTTCCGAGTCGACGCAAGAATCAATATCTACAACTAATGTTATGCAAACAGCCAGCCTGGTGATGATGACACAGGCCTCAGGTCAGGCGTGTCCATCATTTTTTTCTCAACGCGACATCACCCTAATTCCCCAGTGATCTCAGAAGTCTAGAATTTGTCTGCCGACGGGCTTGGCATGGCAGGGCATATATTGAGAGGTCCGACAGAAGTGCAAGGATGGGGCTGAGTGGGCGAGTGGTTGAGCAAGCAGGCAAGCGGAGCGAGGGATACAACATTTGTTTGTGTAAGGAATTAGTAATTCCTTACTGAGGCTTGCTACAGGGCGTACGACTCGAACAGTCCCGAACCAGCAATAGGGTTCCAGACCTTTCAGTTCGAGCCTCCTGGGCCTTTCTCTTAGAACTGAGAGAATTGAATTAGCAAGAGAGAGTACCTAAGTGTTGTACCCTCTAAGAGGCAACCCTATACAGTCTATACAAACATTAGAGATGCACATGTTTGACATGTTGTGATATAATTGATACTTCGCATTTCTGTAAGTCGATTATGTGTAGTTAGTGTCGAGTCATACTGTAGAAGATAAGTCCGTAGGATGACGTCAGCAAATAGCGCTCGTCATAGGACAGTCGTTTCAGTCACGCGAACAGTCGCACCCCTTCATTATCGTCTAGGGCGCATAGCGCGATAGTGACGAACAGGTACATTAGCGAATAGGTACTTTTCGAAGAACTATAAATCTCGGCTAGGTCTTTTTCATTATTAACTTTGATTACTCACAAGTTCACATACTCAGGTTATTCAACCTTGACCTTTACATCTTACAAGACTTCCGCTGTCTTACTAGTCTACCATTCGAGCAAAGATCCTGGACTAACACTTGAGGATTTGCCAAGTGTTCGTGTTTATAGTTTTATACTTCGTCTACTACAACACCTGTCGATTTATTTCATGACACACCCCCTAGACTGCATAGGGGCAGGTCCTGAACAAACAGCTAAGGGCGGCACTACTAGTCCAGCCACAGGGAGAGGACACAAGTCCAGTCTGAGTAAATATATATATATAAAGGACAGCACAAAGTCAAGGCCCTAGCAAGTGAGAGGCTACAAGAACTAGACCAAGCTGTACACAGTGCCGCTGATGATCTTTAGGCGCGAGCGCCTTCATAAAGATATCAGCAGTGTTGGCACCTGAGGCCAAGTGTACTACGCGAGACTGGCGGCGCTGCTATAGGTCGCGCAGAAGGAAGTACCGCAGCTGGATATGCTTCGCTCTGCCCTCAAGTCGAGGCTCCTGACACAGGAGGATCATGGCCCTGTTGTCAGCATACAGGACCAAAGCGGAGCTAGGCCGCTCACCTAAGTCAGTGAGCAAGAAGGTCAGCCAGCGGAGCTCCTGTGCCGCCATGGCACCGGCGTAGATCTCGGCCTCACAGCTGGACTGGGCAACAGATGAGGAGCGGGTAGCTCTCCACGAGACGATACTTGAACCAAGGCTGAAGCAGTAGCTCTAGGAAGACCTGAGTGTCTCGGCGTCGTCTGCCCAAGACGCGTCTGTGTGTCCAGTAAGGACCACTGACCTGCGTCCTCCTAGCACTAACCCCATGCCCGATGTACTTGCAAGATGACGCAAAACCCTCTTAGCGGCAGACCAGTGCTGCGGTCGGTGTCTACCAGTGGCTACAAAGTGAGCCAGGATGCTGAGAGGGTATGCGAGATCTGGGCGAGTGCAAGTCATCAGGTATATGAGGCAACCCACCAGCTCTGCGTAAGGACCACTGGGCTCTGCTGACTCCTCAGGAACTGGAGCGGAGAGCCTGTGGTCTACAAGAAGAGGGGTGGGCTGTGCAGAGGAGAACTGAAGGCCGAACCTCTGAAGGACTTGGCGCACCAAGTGTGACCGATTCAAAGTGATGGTGCGTGCTGCTCTATCCCTGGAGATCTGCAAACCAAGGTAACGACGCAATTCTCCAAGGTCAGTGCAAGTGTGTCTCTTCAGCAGCTCGACCTTCACGGAGGCCAGTGCGTCCCTGTCTGCTGTGGCAAAGACCAGGTCGTCCACGTAAACAAGGATGTAGAACGGAGTCTGGCCAGCACGAACGAAGAGTGAGGGGTCTGCGGAGGACGGAAAGAACTGCAGGTCAGCAAGCGTAGCACGCAACGTGTCGTGCCACTCACGGGGAGCCTGCCGCAGGCCGTAGACGGGACGCCGCAGGAGCCACTGGGTCCAAGGAGGGAAGGTGCCAGTGAAGCCCTGAGGGCGACGCAGGTAGACCTGCTCATGTAGGCTGCCCTGAAGGAAGGCAGTGGAGAAGTCGAGGGAGTGAAGCTCGTAGTCACGCTGAGCAGCTAGGTGTAACAGAACCCGAAGAGTAGTCGTCTTCGGGGTCGGAGCGAAGGTCTGGAAGAAGTCCACCCCCTCACGCTGACTGAAGCCTCTAGCGACGTAGCGCGCCTTGAACACCGGCGGCTCTCCAGGAGGGCGCTTCACCTTGAAGAGCCAGCGGCCATCGACTACGTTCACCCCAGGTGGGGGAACTGCGTCGACGAAGGTACCGGTGGATCTCCAAGATGCCATCTCCTGCTCCATGGCAGCTATCCACTGAGAGGCCCAGGGTCCCGAGGTCGCCTCAGCGTAAGTGAGAGGGGTCGGGATGTCGAAAGTGTCTTGGTCACCCTCAGGGACTAGCAGCATGGAACAGAGATGGGGAGCAGCCTAGGACAGGAAAGCAAGCTCAAACTGGCGGTCCTCCAGGACGTCACTGCCGAGGGCAGGAGCACCCCCGACAGACGGAGGACAGGCAGGGTCAGAGACCAGAGCGGAGGCGTAGTCAAGGCGGCGGGTAGAGGCGAAGTCAGCGACCGCAGCGACAAGGGCGTCAAGATACGAGACCGGAACGGACGGGTCGGTAAAGAGAGAGGTTAGGACCCGAGGAACAAGAGGACGCGCAGCACGAAGGAAGTCAGATAGAGGAGGAGGCGCAACGGTTAGAGAGGACGGAGGAGGCGACGGTAGAAGGGGAGGACGAGACGCATGGGAACGGAGCAACATAGGGTGAGAGCGCGTGACAGGGGAGACAGGACGAGTGCGGGAGGGATGGCGGGACCAGACGTGAGACGGAGGCGTCGGGTGAGGAGACAGAGGAGGGGACACAAGGGGGGAGTGAGGGGGAAGACGAGCCGTAGACAGGGCCGTAGACAGGAAGAGGAGGAGACGGCAGGAGAGGAACATGCGCAGGGTCAGGGGACGGAAGGCCGAGCAGGCGAAGGGCTGACACCGGCGGGGACTGCTGCTGCGACGGCGGAACACCAACACCGGGACCGCAAGCTGCTCCGCGGCTACCTCCGGAACACTCCACTCCGGCACCCCCAGAAGGAACACCCCCAGAGTCCGAAAACCCCCGACCACCAGGACCACCCCCAGGGCCACCTGGGCAGGCCACAATAGGAACCCCAGCACTAGCACCCACCCCAACGCGGGCACCCCCAGAGTCGACGAACTGCTGCTGCGACGGCGGCGGCGACGACGGCGGGAACGACGGGTGCGGCGGTGACGACAGCGAAGACGACGACTGCGTCAGCAGGGGCGACGGCGGCTGCAGAGGCGGTGGGGGAGTTGACACCGGGGGAGGGACAGATGGGAAGGACTGCGGCGCAGGACCACCAGAGTCAGAGGACCCCTCAACCGAGACAACCGACGGGAGAGGGGTGACGTGGGACACACCAGAGGGGGCAGGATGGGGAGGGGGAGGGGGGGGGTGCAGGGACCACCTGGGAAAGAGTGACCTGGAACAGGGGGGGAGTAACGGGGGGACCGCGGTGGGGGAAGCGACGGTAGTAGGAGACGGACTCGTCAAAGGTGACGTCGCGAGAGTGAAAGAACCGGTGAGACGGCGGGTGGTAGAAGTGCCAGTAGGACGCGTCAAGGGGGAAACCTAGGAAGACACAGGGAAGAGTGCGGGCAGTGAGCTTGTCAGTGGCGGAGGCACGAACGTGGGCAAGGCAGCCCCAGACGTGGAACGCAGACGCGTCACCAGGAGACCCGGTCCAAAGAAGGGTCGGCAAAACCTGCGGCCGCTGGGGGTGCGGCCACAGGTTAAGCTGGTGAGCCGCGTAGCGCACGGCGAATGGCCAGAGAAAATGGGGTGCACCGGCATGGATCATGGAGGTGCGAGCCACCTCCATGACCAAACCGATGCGTCGCTTAGCGACCCCATTCTGCTGCGGGGAGTCCGGTAGGGTGAACGTCTAGGTGATGCCCTCCGCACGACAGAAGCGACCAAGGACACCTGAGGCAAACTCGCCACCACGGTCGGAGTGAAGACGCAAGACAGGGAGACCTCGATGGACACGCGCACAGACAAGCCAGGGGATGAGAGCGTCAGGCACGTCGGCCTTCCGCTCCAGGGGAAAGACTATGGTGTAGCGTCTGAAGTTGTCGACAAGCACTAGGAAGTAGTGCTCTCGACGTGGCCCATGGACGGGGGCGGGGCCCCAGACGTCCATGTGCAGGGTCTGCAGCGGCGAGGCGGTAGGGGGAAACGAGGAGGAGTGAGGGGCACGGCGAAGCCGACCCTCGACACAAGGCGTGCAAGGAGGGGCGGGGGAGGAGGGAAAAGTGGGGAACAAGCTAGGGAGACCAAGGACAAGACCATGCTGGGACATGTGACGCAGACGCGGGAGAGCAGGGTGACCTAGGCGGTGGTACCAAAGGAGAGTCCGGTGAGTGAGGGACCGACAGGAGCAGGCAGCAGCAACCTGGGTAGACGCAGCCACCTGAAGGGGCGCCCCTGCCGGGGGGGTCACGGTGTCCAGGGTGAACAGGCCAGACACTGGGTCATGGGGGAACGTGGACAGGGGGGCACCGGTGGCGGCCTCGGTACAGACAGCATACCGCTCGTGACCAGGGAACGTAGTGGTGACGCCAAGGTCCTGGAGACAGCCGACACCAACTAGGTTCCTGGAGAACGAGGGGATATGCAAACCTGTGAGGGAGCCCGAAGGAACCGCAGGACAGGGAAGGGTGGTGGAACTGCGAGCGACGACCGGACCGCCGGAGGGGTCAGCAAGAGAAACTGCAGCAGGAATAGGAAGCGGCGTCAGCGTAGTAGAGTCGCGGAAGAAGCACCGGAAAGCGCCAAAGTCCAAGGTGAAAGAAAACGAAGCAGTGGCGGCTGGCGACGGGGCAACGGCGGAAGCACCAAGGCTAAACAAAGCAGGGGCTCCTACGCCTGACGCAGCAGGGGAGGCTAAGCTAGGCACACCTACACCAGGCGACAAGGAGTAATAAGAGGGGAGCACACTAGAGTCATCTGTATACATCACATGCAGGGCAGAAACAATGGCATCCATGTCCATGTCAAAAATCTGAACTCTACGACTAAGCAAGCTGTGCCAGTCCGAGAGGTCGGGCGAAGGGCCGAAGCGCTGACGAAACAGGTCGTCTAGGCGGCGAAAACAGCGGGCAGTGGTGTGACCGATCTTACCGCAAACGAAGCCGCGGCGAGGACCGGTCTGGA